TTTTCTCCTTAGCTCCATGTTGCAGTACGTTTTGGGAGTTCATTTTTAGTCCATCTCCTATCCTGAAAAGTCTGTCTTGCAGAGACTGACAAAAATGAGCTCCTAAAACTTACTGCCAGATTCTGGAAGATAAATTCTTCAAACAGTGGTACAAGAGGATGTGGTGCTGGTTCTTCAAGAGTCACTCTCAACTTATCGGTCCATAAAGCCTATAAAAATAGTCATCATGCATTTCACAACACTTCAGAATGTTATTCTTAAGTAGGGGTCATTTTTTTACCCAAGCAAAGTCTCTGAGAACCTGACACCTTGTAATTCTGGAGACTCAAGGTTGCAGTTCTGGAAAATGGTGTCACTGAAGACTAACAGGTTCCTGATGGTTTCACACTTAATTCTTCACATTCATTCTTAAATCTTTCGCAGTCAATGAGTCTTTCCTTCACCCGTTTTTTTTTTTTTTTTTTTGCTGACCCAATGATCATTTTGCTGACCAATGGTCATGCCTTAACTTTGAAATTTCTGTATTGCATTAGTTTTTAATATTTCAAGGGGATTTAATCATTTTTGATTTCTCAGTCAGAGTTAAACCTCTTTTTTGGCTCATTTCATCCGTAAAAGAACCTGCCTAATAATTCTGCATTTCTTTTCCATTTCCAGCCTTCATGGACAATTATATATCACTTCTAAATTATTGAATGCTAAAATAATAGTTTGAATTGATGTGGTTTGGAATTGGTAAAATGTGCTTGGAAAAAAATATCAGAATAGTGCGTGCATTATTATTAGGCATGTTGATAAGATGTTCTCCCTTTACACAGTGCGCGTGATAGCGAAATCGAAAGTGAACAGCGAGCGCCAATTCAAATGCGATTTCAATACCCCGCATTTTGATAGCGGCTCCCTGATGTGCGAAAATTATGGGGTTAAAGGAAAAAATATTTTGACTGAATTTTTCCTCGGCCAAACCCCCTTCTACAGCCATACCCGTCACACAACCAATTTAAGAGAAGTGTAGGAGCACCTTCTAATCAATAAATTCTGATCAAGAATTAGTCTTCCTAATACGCGCTCACATTTGACTCCGTGATTTCAGGGGCATTTTCTTTTTACCTTTGTAAATGCATTTTTCTAATTTCATTAAATGCATGCGGGTGTTTCCTCTAGGATTTTTTTTCCAGCTGTGGTGGCAGGACTATTTCTCATGGACCACGCCCCCTCCTCACCCGAGAATAACGTGCACTCAGAGTTGAATTTATTTTAACTAAAAAAAAAAAGACAAGTAAATGTTAAATAATGAAATGACAATCAAAAGCACAAACAATAACAAGAAATGTTTTCAGTTAGGTCTAACTATAGGAGATTTTTTTTTAAACGGAAGAAGGAAAAACTCAGTTTATAAAAATACACGTGTACGTGTGAACATGGCCTTATTTTAACTAAAAAAAGACAATAGTAAATAAAATAAGAACAAATAAATTAATGACAATCAATAGCACAAACAAAAACAATAACAAGAAATGTTTTCAGTTAGGTCTAACTATAATCTACTCGACTGTAAAACACTGGATAGTCTTCACTGTAGACAGCAGCAGGTTTATTTAGGCTGCGGTCTCTTTAAGACCTCATGCACGGATCTAATATACTGATACACATGGCTCCATGCTTACTGTTTTTTAGGAGCGCTTGTCCTCCTAATTTAAAAAAAATATTTAATATAGGAGCACCTTCGGACCAATAATAAAAGTTGATTAAAAAAAAAATTAGCCTTCCTAATATGGAGGTGATTTGACTCCTTAAAGGTGATTTAAATCAAATTCAAAAATTTGGTTTATAAGTTAATTTAAAAAAATATATATAATTAGTAGAAGTTAGCAATCATATGAAATTAGTATTAATAAATTAAATTTCAACTACAGAGGGTGCGCAAAACACAAGTGGCTTGTAGGTACATCGTTTAATGATTCTCAGAGGTGGCATGAGTGCAATTAAATTCATGTTGAGATTAATGTTTAATATAAAATGGAATACAGAAATTAAATTTAAATAACTGAAATTATACCCAAAAATGAAACCGAAACCACCAGCAGGTGGCGGCAAGTCACTGATTTTTATCACTGAATCATTAATTCCATTGATTCGTTTGAACAGCCGATTCATTCAGGAATGAAACCAGTCTTTATGAATGGGTAATCATGAATCACCGACTCACTCGATTCGTTCAAAAACGCACTTTCATGAATGAAACACCGCTGTGTTTGCTTTAGAGATGCGCAGCGGCTCAGCGGTTACTTTGTTTGGAACCATTTTCGTTGATGAAAGAGCAAAATCAGCCAGTACTCGTTTATTGAACTGTTGTATTAAATCAATCACATTTGCAAACGCCTTCAATAATTATTAAAAGCCGTCACTCTCCTTATCGCGATCTGTGGGCGCACAGAAAATGAGCGCGTGAGTGAGTTCTTAAGACTCTAAATCACGTGCAAATGATAAGTTCCGTCATAGTGTTAAGCGCGGAACCCGCGGGAATGAGTAGAATTATTAATACCCGCGCCGAAAATCATCCTGCTCTGTGTTCACTGCTAATAACCCAACTGTGAAGGATGCAAGCGGCGTTATGTTGTCAATGAGAAGTTGCAGCTGTGGCGGGGATGATTTTTGGTAACAACAACCTTTCTTCCCACCTCATTTTTTCCACTTGATGGAAATCTGTCGTAGCGACGGAAAACTTTAATCCCTGTATATACACATTATTAGAATGTTCGCGGGAGCGGGACACACGTTGTGGGAGCCGGCAGTAATGGTCAGAAATTCAGCGGGAGCGGGCTTAAGAAAACGGTCCCGCTCAGGGCTCTAGGCTGTGCATCAACACACGGCAAGTTCTCACGTTACCCCATCTCCACCCCCAATCAATAGTGCAGTTTCATTCTTTGACAGAACATAGGAACATTTTTGAAATGGCGCCAAACAATTTCAAATTTAATTCAAATCACTTTCAAGGACCTATGTTTGTTTTCAAGTACTTTCCAGGCCTTGAATCCATGTCTGAAATTCAAGTACTTTCAGGAAGCGTGGGAACCCTGTGTGTAAAGTACCCGGTACCACCTTGGCTAAGGTTCCAAGCATGCCATACCGTAACCAAAATTTGATGTGTAAACCCTGCTGATCACCGATTGGCCAGAGAGAAGTCACTACCTGCATCATTTGTATTAGAATGATTTATGTAGGATCATGTGACTGAAAAATAATTTTTGACATCAGAGGAATAAGTACAATTTTTAATATTTAAAAATAGAAATCCGTTATTTGAAATTCTAATAATATTTTAAAACTGGTTATATATAACATGTACCCAGTTTACCACTGGTCCCCAACATTGGGAAAAAAAAAAAAAAAAAAAAAAAATAGATATTTAGATCAAGAACCTAAGACCTACCATGACGGAAGTTGCTATAGTAATACAGGCGGCCTTTGTACGTCAGGCAGTTAGGTTCTTGGACAGCCAGATTGGTTGCGACCTTCATCCCCACACTCTGTCAAAGCAAAGCATAAGATATATTCCTTGAGCACCAAATCAGCATATTAGAATGATTTATGTAGGATCATGTGACTGAAAAATAATTTTTGACATCAGAGGAATAAGTACAATTTTTAATATTTAAAAATAGAAATCCGTTATTTGAAATTCTAATAATATTTTAAAACTGGTTATATATAACATGTACCCAGTTTACCACTGGTAATGTGACAATTTTTATGTAAAAAAAAAAAAAAAAAATAGATATTTAGATCAAGAACCTAAGACCTACCATGACGGAAGTTGCTATAGTAATACAGGCGGCCTTTGTACGTCAGGCAGTTAGGTTCTTGGACAGCCAGATTGGTTGCGACCTTCATCCCCGCACTCTGTCAAAGCAAAGCAACAGATGCATTTGAAAAGTCAATCAATATTCAGCCACTAAATGACTGCAAACAACATCCAACCTTGAAAACTTCGTAAGCTTCATCTGTAGGAACAGCTCGACGGGGTCGAACATTCAGGCACTCCTGTTCATCCTCAACAGGAAATGGATAATGTAATCGAGAGCGCACTGGGAGCAAGTTGAACACCTAAAAACCATGGGGGGGGAAAATGCCATGTCAAAAACACCTCATTAAGCCATTTAAGAGAAAGCCACAGATGGGCATATTGAAGCCAACCAATGAGTTGCTCTAGTTTTAAAGAGACTAAACTTAATGGACAGGTCTTTGGATAAGATATTAAAACGCACAAACACCACCAAGCAGAACGAAATACAATCATGGCACATTGGTGAAATACCAGTCAAATACGCAAATCATTTAATAGGTTTAACAATGTTTTTCCTAATAGGCATGTCAGCAATGGATGCGAATCCAGATAAGTTCAACCAGCAATTGCATCGGAAGAAAGTCAAACACCTGGGACTGTAAAATCATCATTTTTGACATGTTGCATGCAACAAAAACATTTGGTACGCCACATAATAGCTTTGTCCAATTGATCCATCTGCATAACGCATTCTAAAGAATAACCTTGATGTCAAATCAATTCCAACAAGAACTTATTGAACTGCACATGGATACCGCTTCAGCGCTCAAACGTCTTCCTGGCTCCATGATCCGGACGCTCTGATCAACCGCGCTGAGGCCACACAGGGATCCTGCTTGAGCAGAGACCGTCAAAACATTTCCCTCACTAGGAACAGCCGTAGGTGGAGAAAACTGCAGAGACACCTGGAACGAGAACAAGCTCAAGCTGACAGACATGTTGCCACACCCCACAAAGAGTAAAGTGCTAGATTACCACATACCCGGTTTTGGAAACACATTTCAGTGTCAAAATCTGCACTAGCAGCAACTACGTTCTCACTGGGCAAAACACAGAAGGCCAGAATCTGCACTACTGGAGCCATATCAAGACTGACAGACAGCTCAAATGACACCGTGCCACTTAGTGCATTTAAAGCCCTCACTTGGACCTTCTGAAATCCATGCAGAACAATCACCCCTCTGGACAAGACCTGACAGAAAACAAAGACGGACTGGTGCATTAAAAGGTGCCCCCCCCAAAAAAAATTCAGTCATCAAAACCAGTGTACACTCACCATATAGATCATGTCAGCACTGTAGTCACCAGTTTCTCCAACAAAAGAATACTGGATTGTCACTGGATACCTGGCACCACATTTCAGTGGCCGCTCAAGCTTCATTACAGTCAGTTTACTAAACATTGGGTTGTTGGGAGTAGCAGTTTGGAAAAGCGGCACAGTCCTCGTAGCACTACTGAAGTAGGGCGATTTATAACCATAAAAATCCCGTGAAGTTGCACTTGCCTGAGGAACAAATTAATAGAATTGTTTTTTTGCAAGAGAAGTCATTTAAAAAAAAAAATAAACACAATAGGATTTAGTCAAATCGTACCATCAGATTCAGATCAGCTTTAGGGAAATCAGCAGTGTTCAGGGAGAAAGCGGCCAGTCCATTCATGTTTGTAGTCAGATTCAGCAGCAGTTTGTTGGGCCACTGGCTACCATCCAAGAGATAGACTGCCTTGCTTGCAATTGGAGTCCCATTGAAATAAGATACGGAGATCTGTTGGAAAAATAAAGGTTAGGAAAAGGAACCAATGAGAACGGTCTAATAAGAGATGAACCTTTACTCACCTCTCCGTTCATCATTGATCCATAGTTAAAGAAATCTGGGAGTTCCAAAAACGAGACCATGCCAACTTGAAACGTAATGGACACAGTTGTGGATTTTGATATCATTACATCTGGGAGGAAACATGCCACAAATATGAAGGCACCAAATAAAAACAAGCCACTGGTTCCAATCAGCCAGCAGCTCACCTGTTCCCTCCTCAGTGACGTTCACGTTAACAAGAAATGAATTTTGCATGTCATCTTCAAATTTGGTGCCGAAAAACTCTGACATACTGATGGTACGGGAAGCACAACCCGTGATGTTCAACTGGTAGCAGAACAGACAGTCAGATTTAAAATGTAGACATGCAGAAAAAAAAAAATCCTGCTCTGTACAGCGGTCACATACCATAACAGTTTTGATAAGACACACACGAGACAGGCCAGGTACCACGTTGTACGAGAACGGCTCACGGCACACTTCCACCAACGCTTGACCAGGTACAGGTTGCCCATATGTGTATCTGGGAAAACATTAAGGAACACGATCAAGAACACCAACCAAGAGACAAGTCGAGAAAATGGTTACTCTTACTTGGCACAAGCCTCAACTTTCAGTCCCACATCTGCCACACTATACGTCAGTGGTGTAGTCAAGATGACATCAAACTTGGGTAAAACTAAACCAGAAACAAAAGGTTTTAAATTAGGACCGCAGTCATCAACTAACAGTTGCACATCATGGTGACTTACCATACTTTTTCACCTCAAAAACCTGAGAGATCATCCGGTCACCAATAGAAGCCCTCAGTGTGCACATCCCGACCTGAGCCTCAGGGTTTAACTGGTGAGAAAGCTCCAATATCCACCCCGTTGAGGAAACATCTGTCCACTGACCAATCCGGCTATTATGATTGTCCTATTTGGAGGGAAAAACTTGGAATAAGAAACTGAAAGCCTAAAGTAAAAGTAAAAACAAAGAACATGCAGAGGTAAACCAGTGTTGTATCCGGTCATTGTAAGACTCTCATTGGGTTTTAAGAGACTGGCACACAATTTGGCATCAGAGCGGGACTCGATCACTGCAGAAAACGTCACCAAGAAAGATCTGTGGACACATCAGACAGACATCTAGTATTAGAAAATAGAAATCAGATCAGCACACATTCATGTAGGTGTATAATCACAGAGGTAGTTTCCATAATATAGGGACTCAAAACACAAACTTTGAGGAATCATGTTAAAACAGAAAGGACGTTTTGAGATGGTCATTGTAAGACTCTCATTGGGTTTTAAGAGACTGGCACACAATTTGGCATCAGAGCAGGACTCGATCACTGCAGAAAACGTCACCAAGAAAGAGCTGTGGAAACATCAGACAGACATCTAGTATTAGAAAATAGAAATCAGATCAGCACACATTCATGTAGGTGTATAATCACAGAGGTAGTTTCCATAATATAGGCACTCAAAACACAAACTTTGAGGAATCATGTTAAAACAGAAAGGACGTTTTTTTTTTCCACTTTTCACCCATTTACTCACGGTCCTGATGTCTGTCCATCAACAGCAAAGAGAAAAAAGACTAAAATGAGCCCTTTCCAAACACAAAACTCCTTCATAGCCATGAAGAGTGATCACCCAAGACTACAACCAAATCAAATGCCTCTTTCAAAAACCCTTCAGAACTTCACCAAGCTCTACGACTCTTCACTACTCTACAGCCACTCCCAATCAGCTGCACTGATGACAGCGATATTTAAACGCTCTTAATTGGAGGAATTCATTGAGCTCGTTAATGTCAATAATTAACCTCCAGCTAGTGATGGGAGAAAGGAACCTTTTCAAAGCTTCGACTCAATTGAATCAATTGCTTCGCAAAATGATTCACTGTTTCGAAGCGCTCGAAACACCACACGCTGGTGACTCCTGCTGGTCAAAACTGAAGCCCGTGCATCACTTTTAGGTACGTTCATAATCCTGTGAAACTTTTTTGGATGTTGACGTTAATAACGTGTTTTAATGTCGGTAATAATATCACCGCCGCATCTGCCTTAATATTCCCTCAGAGTTTCCATGTTCCCTTACGAAAATGAACCATAATTTTACAACGGAAAACCCCCCCATAAATTAACCATGGTTTTGATACTTCAAATCGCTTCAAATAATAATTTACTAAGTATTCAGATAACATTTTTGTGGTAAAAAAAAAAACAGACCTAAGCGAGAAACAACCTTTAAAATGACATAACAAGCATTATATAAAAACAATGAGGCAATAATGATTAATTAATAATAGTCGTATGGTTCCATTGAATAACACTGTTAAAATACATAATGTAATAGCCTACAAAATAAACAATTTATGTACATCACATATTATTACAAATGCCTGTAAAGGGCGCCAAAGGCCTGGTAATTGCTGTTGTAACACTTGCAGGATGATCAAATCCAAACATTTAATTCAAATATCCACTTAATCTTAAATGTTTGGCCACCTTTTTGCGATAGAAATGCTAGCCTCTATAATTTCTTCAACAAAAACATGTGGACGTCACAACCCTTACAAAAACTAATCCTTGGTTTTATCGAAGTAAAACTGTTTAATTTTCTTTTGTGTGATTTCTGAATTATGTTTTATTAAAGTTCTATTTTGACCCCTTAGGTAGGTGTGTGTGTGTGTTTTTAACTTCCATAATATTTTGGGGAGGGGGCACAACAATACAATTCTGCTTAGGGCAAAAGTTTTTTAACACTTTTTATGCGTGTTGTGGGCAATATTAGCCGTTAGATAAAGTTTATCATCCACACTGAAATGTCTGAAAGCGTTACATTCGCCTTACTGTGCATGTATAAAACCTCACTGAGATGGTACAGACGGAACAGACATAATAAATTTCACGCAATTCTTCTGGCAGGATCAATTCATTTACGGAAATATTTTACCATTTACTGACACGCCCACGGTGTGCTCACTCAGAATTGACCTAAAAGGCAACTGCCCTCGTGTTTTGCCACAGGACAGCAATCGTGAGTAAATTTTCGTGTTTTTAGGTCTGTAATATGAAGAGCGTGCAAAGTAAATATCTTTAGCAACAGTGTGAAAGTGAATGGCACATAACTGCAAAATTAGCCTTACCGGTATAAACATGTCTATTGGTACAATGCAGTGTTGCCAGACGTACGATAATTTTGACCTCTGTACGATGTACGATCAATAATGGAAGAAAAAAAAAATCCCATAATGTATGATAATTTTATGACAATTCAAATGATGGTAGTTGTAGTCATAGGGCTTTTATATTCATACATGAAATCGGCTCATTACAGACATTCTAAATGAGCTCATGCACACCTCAGAGTGTGTTAAGAATGCATGAGGGTGCCCTGCTTTAAAGCCAACGTGCACTGTTGCGGTCCATGATGGCAAGAACCCCCTCAACATCTGGCAACACACAGGCTTCCGATGACAGCGGCTCAGATGTGGAGTTAACAGCTGAAGTCTGTCTACACTGGATGTGGCAAAGTGAGTGTTAAAATTCATTTTAATACTTTATAAATAGAACGAGGCATCAGTTTACTGTCGGGGATGTGTCGTGTCATATCCAGTGCAAACAGTCACGGATTATAATGGTTTCTATAGTATTTCGTCGAACTGCTCGCGTCCAATGTAAACACGGTACGCCTAGTTATCTATTCTTGTAGATGACCTGGGAACTAATGGCACTTTTCCACTGTGTGGTACGACTCAGCTCGGTACGGCTCAGTACGGCACGGCATGGTTCACATGTCGTTTTATAGTAGCGCCGACTACTATAAAACTTTCTTTCCCCCTCTTTCTTCCGCTCCCGGAGCCATCCCAAGCGTGAGCATGACTCCGCTAAAGCATAACTCCATAACTCTGTATCTTCCAGGTGGATGCTGCACACTGGTGGCGGATGAGGAGATACCCCCTGACAATGTAAAGCGCTTTGAGTGCCTAGAAAAGCGCTATATAAATGTAATGAATTATTATTATTTCC